TTGAGATAATCAATGTCAACTATCCTGCAGATCAATGGCTACAAGACTTCACTGATGGGTCTTACATAGAAAACCAACCAAACGTTGATGCAGGTGTCTATTCTGAACTCTTCTCTTTCTACGCAGCAACGGGACACAATAGATCCGCTTTCGAAGGAGAAATAGAGGCATTAGGATAGCCCTATGCCAATAATGTTGCCTGGATACGAAATTCACCGAAGCGGTGATACTTTCGGACTCCCAGTCAGCAATAAACTTAATTGGAAACAGAGAGACACCCAAAACAGCTGAGATAAAATAATGTAGAAAACTCTATGAGCTGCTGAGAGAGAAAAACAAAACAGTGGTCCCACAATGGATTCCTGGTCACTGTGGCAGTAAAGGCAATGAGCTTGCTGACACACTTGCTAAGAAGGGGACAACGATTTTGCAATGCATGGACCGGCCGATGTCTTTCCACACAATGAAGGCCTTAATCAAGAGAGAATTCCAGACCTCAAGGTGCAACGAAATTAAAGCTCGAACAATGGAGAAACAGTGGACAGTGGCACTCTCCGACATACCCGACTGGCCAAGAATCGAAGCCGTTGCTGAGTTTAGACTACGTACCGGACACGATTGCTCGGAAAAACATCTTCACAGATTGGGAGTATGCACTCAACCCACATGCCCTCTATGTAACCTACATGAGGAAAAGGAGTTGACCCACTTGATTCGATGTCCAGCTCTAAAGACAACGACGGAAAGCCAGAGGTACTAGGAAGCAAGAAGACGGCTAATGAACTGCTATAAATGCGCCCCCCCCACCCTTGGGGGAAGCTGAAGTCAAAGTTTAGGGGCTAATGATAAATATCACAAAGGCTGCAATTTGAAATAAATAAATCCATTCATCAATAAACTCCCTTCATATTTCTGAATGAAACATACCTGATTCAAATATTCTGGCAAAGGTGGAGGGTCATTCATATTAATATCTGATTCAACTTCAATTGATTCCTTGAAGAGGAAATCATTCATTCGAATTTCACTTTGTTTACCTGCTCAGTTGAATTCTCTATCAAAATATTTTCTTCTTCAATGCTCTCAACTTCTTTAGGTTTATTGACTTCATTAAGCATTTTTCGAAGCCTGTGGAACAACTCTCCAGATTGTTCGGATGTTGCCAAAGTGCCCTCTACAGTGCAAACTAAATTCTTTCATTTCTCTGTCAACAACTATAATTTCTTACCTCAATTTTCTGCTTTATGCTTTCAAATGTACACGTCTGCTCAGCGTAATAATCCTTCTGAAAAAAACCCATCAGAATGGTGAAATAAAAAGCTCACTGCGTATTGGCTCATTTTCCCTTCTAGAGATACTAGGCTTTTCAATGTCTCATTTTCAACATTAAGTTTTGAAATTTTTTCTTGCAATAAAGATATTTCTGAATTTGCTTCGTTAAGCTTCTGGCATAAAATCTGATTATCACGTTGCAAGCGTTGATTTTTCGACTTCGTGGATGAAACTTAATATAGCATTAAAAAGATTGATTATCCCCAACCTGTTGTTTTAAATCGAGCAAGAAATTCTTCGATTTGTTCATTGTTGTTTTGTAGTTGAGTAAATTGACTACGCAGAGCAGTTAGCCGACTCAACGCTAATTCTGTTTGACTAATTTGTAGAGAGCTTTCAGTCTCATGCGCTTTCAACTTCAGTTCTAATTCAGTTTTGTATTTCTAAATACAACGCGTGAAACGAATTTGAAGTATACGAGACACTTTTGAAGATTTTCCGACAATGTTCTGTTTTCATTTTCTAAAACGGACACGCTGTTTTCTGACCGTTTCTAATTAAAAAATAAAGGAAATACACAAATATTCACTAATTTTCTCTCCAGATCTAAGATTTCATCGAAAAGATTCTTCAATTTCTCTTCATATTCAGTAGTTTGCTGTTGTAATTGTGTTTCCTAAAAATAGACTAACGATATAACCCAATCTTACGTAATTATTCTTCAACTCCGACAGTTCTTCGGATAATATATGAATTTTTTCCTCATATTTCAAATTTAAAAGCTAAAAATAACATTTTTCAATAGTTACCCTTGTTTCTTTCACTTTTTCAATTAATCTCTTTGCATTCGCGAAAAAACGTGCTGTTTCTTGAAATTGCATGTCTAAATTAGGATAGCCATAAGGATAATGAAACAGATAAGAACGTCACTAAAATTTTAAATAATAATCAAATTATTAGTGATCTTGAAATTAAAAATAATGCATTCTGTTTTCTTAATTTACGTAATATTAAATTTGCATATAAACATCTCCCTTAAAGAGGACTTCAAATTTATTTCATATTAAAAGAATAAATATTAAGTAAGATAAAATATCATTCGCTATATTGTCTTAGTCTGTTGCACAATCGAATTCTTATGATTACATTAAAACCCTTACGTTATCTTCTTCATGATTTAATGTCGCATTGTCACAAGAGAAAATTTTTAGAGCAGTTCTGTTTGAAGTTAAGAATAAGGAAGTAATTGGAAACTCGAAATTGAAGTTGGAAGATTTACCAATTAAATTGCAATTCAATTTATTTAGCTTAAATTATATTATTTGAATAATAGGATAAAAATTTTAATCACACATATATATATATATATATGTACATATATTTATATATATATAATTGAAATTTGCTTGAATACTATACTTAGTATTTGATTAGCAATTTCATTTATTTAACTGAATTGTCACACTTTCGTGTTCGAGGTAATTAATTTTATTGAAATTATGAATTTTGCTTCTTTGGGGTATGTGATAGACTTACCTACACGTGGTACACCCCGGGCAACGTATAGACATATGGCAAAAAGTCTATAAACCGGCAGCTGACTTCTGACTTCAAACAACCATGACCCCCTGTATGTCTTTGACCAACCACTTCTTCACTACTTATCTTACTATTTCTCCTCCTTTGTGCCTGTCTGTCTCTTTTACATATGTGAATCACTTTTCTGCTTCCCCTCTCCTCTTTTGGTGACTTTGGTGTTACTCTCTTTTGTGAAGCCCGAAGTCAGCTAAACAGATAAATGATAATTATCAGATAGTAAAAAATAATAAAACGTATTTTCTGCAACTTCGATAAAATATTATAAACACGAAAACTGTATGTGATTTTTTTGACTTTTGGGGAAAATTAAGTTAATATATCATTCAAGGACATAACCTTGAAGTGAGCAGCTAGCTCCGTTGTACGGAATGACGGAAGCTTCGCCGCCTAATGACATTAACAATTTTAATTCATTTCCAAGAGATTTAACGACCGATGTTGACTCTATTGATGCAGAAGATTTCGATCCTATAGTCTACATAAATGAGGTATGTTGATCGTATGTATTATGTTATTTTATAGCTATTTCCCACTGAAAAGTCATTGTCTGCCATTGATGATATAATCGCAACTATTACTGAAAAGATTGAAAATATTGATATACAGACCCGTCAAATCATTCGAGGTCAATGGGAATTAGAAGACAAAGGCAAACAATTAGTTGGTGAAGCCTCGGAGCTTATCCAGTCACTCTTTACTAAGTGAGTTTATTTAATATACCCTTGCCTTCAGACCATTGGTCACGACCTTGCGAATTTCGTTGATTCATTTGTAGAATTCGCGAAGTTCAAGAGCGAGCAACTTCTTCTGAGCTTATGGTGGCTGAAATCACTAAGGATATTCAACAACTTGATCATGCTAAACAAAACTTGACTGTTTCTATAACGACTTTAAGTAACTTAGCCGTCATTGTCGATGATATTGATCATTTGAATTCTGCGTTGAATATTAATATATATGCTCCAGCAAATCCTTTTGGTACCGGTACGTGGCACTATTAAATTTTTTTCCAAATTTTTAAGTTTGTAGATATTTATTTCCTTTACTTTTAGACAACGCTCCCAAAGTTCTTAGTTCCGCGCAAATAGAGGACAATTTAGCAAGGGCTCAACGTCTTATGGAAACCATGATGGCTACTTACTCTTCAGTTCCTGCGGTTGTCGAACTTAATGAGGAGTTAAAGAATATTTTTTCGTCTATTAACGCCAGACTCTCTATAGAAATGAGAGAACTTTTGACGGTGAGTTGCGTTAACGCGGCTTTCATGTATTCACAGTTTGTTTCCCCAAGTCAGTTTACTACTTTCTCTCCTGCATTAGAATCCTGCAAAAACTCAGGCTTTATTATATTCTCTTTGTTAAATCAATATAATTTTTTCTGAACCGTTTTACGCCTAGTGATTTGGATTGAAATCGCGTTGGCTAATCATGTTTGATTTAATGAACTAAGGACACTTAGTGAATTTTCAATCAATCAGAGTGTAGCTTTGGTAGCAATTTAGAAGTTTTCAGACTTTAACCAGTTACTCGTGTCCCTCTCCTTGAATGTATTTTAATTAATGATCTCTTAGGGTTATTTATTATCATCGGTGACTGTTATTTTAATCCTCCATATTTGCTTATCTAGTTCCAAAGATTTGGAAGAAAAATCTGGTTGCAAATTCATGATAATGGTGATCAAAAATGAGTAGTTTGAACTCTTTTTTAAGGGAAAGTGGTTTTTCAAGTTGTTAATTGAAAATTAGGCTCAATGGTCTAATCTCTTATTATCTAACTTCATATTGGCAGTAAATAGGCTCTTTCTAATTTCGATGGATTTGGATGTCGTCGGATTTGCTGGTGATTTGGGAACTTCACTGTGTAAGTATAAGTATACAAATGGCATTTTAGGTGTTTTAAATTGACGGGGAGTTGGGAGAGGGGAGGGGGGTTGCTGAGACGTTTGATTTAGTCGCCATAGTATTGATAGGTGTATGTATAGTGATAATATCTGACTTTTTGATAGAGAGTCTGAATATATCCTCGAACAACTGCTGAAATTTTTATCGAATCTATTTTTTTATTTAAAAGTTTTCAATGAGTATTCGTTCACTATGCCATATCGTTGTTCTATACGGTTAGGGTTGTCTAGGCGAAGTAAACGTGCTACAAGAGTCCAATTGTTTTAGATGGACGCTTATGACAAGAAAACATGGTACATTTCATCTCCATGTATTTCTTTCGCGTTTCTTTTTTTCCCTCTAATTCAAGGCCTTTAAGCAGGGTAAACATGAAAAATATTAATTGGTGGGTATGTAGTGGGGCTCTCTTTTGATATTTAAACAATTTGCGCCTACTTATAATAATCTCTTATATAGGGGCATTGGCTATTTGAAAATTTTGAATTCAACGTCTTTTGAAGTATATTTTTCAAATTTCAATTCTCAGAGCCCTTCTGCTCGTATTTTGACTGAACATGCACCCAAGATTCTTACCGGTTGTCGTCTCTTGGATCTCCTTCCCACTGATTCAATGAAAATGGAAATTATCAACTGGTTCATCGCTCAACAACTTGCCGAGTATCGTGAGCTCTATGAGCCCTCACAAGCCATTGCTTGGCTGGATAAAATCGATCATCGTTACGCCTGGCTTCGTACCAACATCACACCCCTCGAACGCAAGATTCGAACCCTTTTTCCGCAGGAGTGGCTTGTACTAGAACGTCTTATTGTTGAATTTTGCCGTAACACCCGAAAAGACCTGGAAGTGGTTATGCAGAGGCGCAAAGCAGAGATTACCCATAACCTGCTTGTGTTTGCCATGCAACGAACGATTGCTTTTGAGAGTAGTTTATCGAAGATTGCTACTGGGGCGACACTTTTGGAGGAGCAGAGAAAGGCTGAGGTAGCTCCGAAGAAGGCGGAGAAGGAGATCATGGAGAAGGAATCAAGCAATCCATTTGATAAAGATGTTGAGGCTGAAGAACAGGGTATGTTGTTATCTTCAAACTTAATTTGTTTCTCGTAGTCACGCATATATTCGTTTCCCAAAAGTGTGTTGAAAACGGCTGTCATGATTGTTCTACCACTGTGCGCATCTGATATGTCGATCCCTCATTGTGATGATTGGCATTTTTGTTTGTGTCCATATCTAATCGCATTCGGAAGGGCTAGAGATGCGACCTTATCATTCCCAATGGTCTGAGATTGATTAACACAAGCTTTCGATAGCAGAAAGAACGATCGCTTATTCGACTAGTTTGATTGTTACTAGATTTTTTAGGCTTTTAGGGCTCATATAATCACCATTGTTTCAACTCCCAGTAATATTCGAAAGCATATTTATGTTTTGATCTAATCATACGGGACATTCTTGCTTTTCGTTAATGGAAATTGCCAAGATGGACATCCCAACTTTATCATTAAATGTTTCAGGTGTCTTTACGCATTCATGGAACACTGTTGTTCCTACCCAATTTCTACGATTTTGATTCATTTTTTGGTTCACTTGTTAAAAGGTAGTCATAGGGGGTAAAGATTCCTTTTATAGGGTTTGTGACCTTTGATTTTAGTTTCCGCATTTTGTATTTTTTCCCTTTTTTTTGAAAAAAATGCTTGTATTTGTTTGTTATACTTTGTCCAAATAAGGTCAATATTTTCATGAAATTTTACAATAATCATTTTAGCAGACAAACCTGTGCTGGAACCTGAACCACAGCAGAACGTATCTCCGTTTGAAGGAATAATTTCAAAGTAATGGATTTTTTAAATATTTCTTAACATACTTATCTCTAAATATTTCTTAATGAAGGTTTTTTCGTGTTTTAGTTGTTTCACACCATACTTCGATCTATATTTGAATAATATTGAACGAGCTCTCAACGATCAATTGACTACTAGACTTATTGGTGACTATACTGTTAATAAGTCAAGTCTGAAGAGCCGTGCTTTTGGAGACGTTTTCAGAGATGCGAATGGTAGTCTATTACTGCTTATTTCATAATGCTGTCCTACTGAATTGATCTTAAGTAACACTGATTTTAGCAGCGCCAAATTCTGCAAGTGTTGGTGGCGACTTGGCGGAAAATACTCTCTACTCATCCACTGATCTCTTCCTTCTCTACAAACAACTGCTGAAACAAACTCTTCAATTGACACGTGGACGAGGTCTTCTGGGATTAGTGGGATTACTCAAAAAGTATCTTCGAGAGTATACAGAAAAAGTCCTGCTACCTGGCATTCCGGGGCTGGCTTCAAGCTCTGCCTCTAGTGGTGGAGGTCTTGTAAAACCTTTCAATCTGAGTAGTCTTGCTGCGTTAGGTAAGTGGAATACTTTCCTATTGAATATTTATTCCTTCTATTCTTTGGACACGGTTTTAATATCTTTATCGCATATCCTGTTTTGTTTCCCAGTGCTTCGTAATGCTTAGATCAAGTTGAATTCACAAGTATGCATCTTAACTTGAGCATTGGGATATTTTTCAGTATCTCCTTATTCGATATTCAAATTCCACGAAATTGTCTTGTCTCGGAAATTTGACGTGGCCTTTTTAACTTGTTCTTCTAAACTTTTGCTTATTCTTCGATAGTCTCCTACATTGTGTGTTATTAGCTATTCTTACATTAGTACTAAAATCTGAATACGTACCTTTATTTATTTACACATACATTATTGGCAAAAATTCAATGAGCCATGTTTTCACTAAGTGGAGGTAGCGAATGTGCGCTTGTCTACTTACAGGTGTTAAGTAGCTACGAATATTAGCGAATGCTCTAAAAATCGAAGAACCACTCTTTAAAGCGCCACGTGTAAAATTGGCAACTTTTAACGCCAACTAGACCACATGATGACTTATATATTTTGACTCTTATTATGAGTGTCGTTGTTTGTTTGACTAACTTTGAATACAAGCAAAGTAAGTAAGCATTAATAACAGTAAATGAAAGCAGTCCCGGTGGTTTGTAATAATTATCTACACTCTCGCACCGATTTATGAACAGTCTTAAGTTCACATTACATTATTATTAATATAATAGAATAAATTTAAATCTAAAATGCAAATCTTTCTTTAGCAAAAGACTTGCATTTGTGCATGTATGGAAGAGGTCCCGTGTGAATACATAAAAGCTAATTAATAAAATGTGTTCATTTTTAAGTAGTAAATACGGAATTGTAAGCATGCCAACATACTGAACCCACGATATTTCTCACCCAATGTTGAAAGTACTCATCATGACCTTCGCTACGCCACTCAGCACGTTTCTTCTTGCTTATTCCCTGTGCTTTCCGCAACTCTTCAATTGTATGTGGATTGTTACAGTACTCTTTAACTCTTAAATTGCCCCATAAATGCGAATGGCAAATCGACACATCAGACGATCTGGGAGTCCACATGTCTGCTCTCCTCCGCAGTCTTCATAGACGCGTGTCATTGAAATCTGGGAAGTATGGTCCATTTAATCCGACATACTGAAATTGTTTACCAAAAGCCCATTTTTGTGTCACGTAGGGTCACTTATTGTGTTCCCTAAGATTGTCACTTGATCAGTAGGATATGTTTTGAAACTTCGCAAACCCACTAGTGTGGATCCCTGCTTAGTCCGTGATAAAATAAAGATTTGATTCTAAATAATCATTAGGGACGGGAATGAGTTACCATTCGCAATAATGATGTCATTTTTCGTAACCTGGATTGTAAAGCTTGTATCAACCTTACTTTATACGCTCTGGCATGACGTTCAGTTGGAAGAGCAGACGTCTGGTTGATTTCCTTGGACTTCTGTAAAATACTTTCCGTTGAATAAATTGTTTGTACACAGTCACTTTCTATTAACGGATGAACCTGCGACTCTAAATTCAGAAATCATTTTCTGGAAAATGCTTTTATTAGAAGTAGCAACTGTCTGTGTATATTTTGTGGTGAACATTTCATTTAACATTACTACCAATTTACATTCCAAATAAGTTTCAACTAATGACACTTTGTTCTATTCAAAACGTCATTCTGTGAAAGACAGTCTTTACAATCGTGCATTAACAAGTAACAAGGAAATGCCGAGCAGTACACAGTTAACACGAAATGGCCAATGGGTATTACATGATTCCTGCGCAAACGTTCAATGTCACTCCCTTTATCTTTGCCTTACTCTATTAGCTAATCATCTTATTAATATGGCTGTTTTATCCAAGCAAATTACTGCCTGTTAAAATTAAATTCATGTTTAAATTCAATCTAATATTTTTTTATTTCACCACCTACTGATTATCGATTTGGTCTGCTTCTTTAGTAAACAGAAAAGGTCCTTTAAAATTTGGATCCATGAATCGACATTAATCTCTAAGTATAGCCAATCCGATCAATTAATTTTCATGAGGCTACCTAGAGGTGTGTAATTGTGGCTTGTTTCTTTGTTTATATATTGATTACTGTTATCTTACCACCTAATTAGAGCAAATGTGGCCATTTAAGACTGTGTAAAGCGAATTTGAGGTTACGTTTAATGAATGTAGTTAGCCTGACCCTGCATTTTAGTGTACTATTTGAACGGTCAACAATTTCTCAGTTTACCTTCAGCCAGTAGCGCCATGTAGCGTTAGTGGCCATGTGGTAGTGGATTGATGAATTTTCTCTGATTTATGGGCATAAAGTGGCCATCGGAAGTTCCAAACCCATGGTTAATTTGACCGTACGTGTCGTAAAATATGCAAGTTTTACGATCTTGTACTTCGCACGCTTCAAGTTAACCTCCTTTTCCCATCATTTTTCTTTCCGTTCCTCAAAAATACTACTACTTCTGACTTCACTTTAGCAATGCACCATTTGTATTTAAGAATCATCCAACCCTAAAATAAAACCATTACATTGGGTTTATTGCATTTGAATTGTCTATTGTAATTGAATACTTTCGTAGTACAGGTAATGGGGCTCTCCATTAACACCTAATGGGTGGTCAATATGAAATCGTACGTAAATGTAACACAGAATGCTCCAGGTCAGTGTCTATTTGCTTAGACAGAAGTGTTGTGTGTCTGAAAAATGGGCGGCAATTGTTCTTTTGACTAATTGTGGCGACTGTCTCTAGTCTGTTTTAATATTCATTGTTGTCTTCTACGGGATAATCGTTATTTAGTTGATATCTTAACCATGTAACTAATTTGATTGCAGTTTTTTCGAATGCCTATTTTATCCATGTCTTCTAAAGTAGGTTAGTAAGTATCGATGAACATAAAATTTGCTGAATAATTTTGTTAAGTCGGACACAATCAACAGTCTTTAATTACGGCTACTAAGAAATCACAGATGCAATAATGGCGTAGTATTCAAAAGCTTTGGAGCTAATGTGATTGGAAGCAGCCTCTGGAAATATACAGCCTCGTAGATGTCATGCTGGTTGAAAATGACTGTAACTCATCTTAATTCTCTCAATGCCAAGTTTTTATTCCACGTTGTTTTAAAAAGCACTTTACCACCACTCAAAATTAGTACTTCCGTAATGTTGGTCTGGCTCATAGTTTATGAATGAGTTATCTGTGGCGCCGCGATTTGTAAATTTCGAAGTATTTTTCACACATTTTAAAGATATTAGTCGGATTTATTATAATACGGAACTACGTTCGGTGGCTATATTATACGCTCTTTTATTAATATTTTGTAAGCTAATATTTGGGAATTGAATCACATTTTTGTCATTGTTAAATGTCCTAAACGTCTTACCCGCTAGTTTCCAAACATCTCTAATCTTTGTTCCCTTCTTTTCAACAAACTAACTGAATTTTATTTCCTACGCAGGCTTAAATCAAGATGAAAATTCGGGAACTCGCAAAGACAGTGCTGCCTTTTTAGCTGCCAATCTCTCCAACCAATTATTTAATCTCCACCGCGATGAGCAGGTAAACTTTTCAACTGCCCATATTCTTATAAGTAGTATTTACCCGCAGCTATTATTTATGTTCATTTCTGACGCGAAAATCAATCAGAAAAGTTTTAATGTAATTAATAGTAATTGCGTTTATTGAATTGTGTTAATGGAAGTTAACTTGTTTATTGAGTGTTAGTGCTAGTTTTAACACGAAGTATTGAATGAAAATATTTGCGTTAACGTGCGCTCTTTCGTAGTTTATGTGTATTGATTTTTCCCTCTGAGTTGTTTCTAACTTCCTATTTGGCTTCGAATTTGAGTTTACTGGGTGGCCTTATAATTTTTATATTCGTATTTTTTACGGACGAAAAGTACCGCCTCAATCTGAAGCAAAATTGAGAAGCAGGCGAAAGTCTTTTGCTGAAAATTAAAGGCTGTGAGTATGAAAACAACCAGTTTTGATCAGAAGGTAGATCTAGCCTTGTGGAGAGCTGTACATTTCCACTTAGGCGGCCTCCCATAATTTGCTTTCTCAGTATCGCTTATCTTTATTCCCCATCTTTCAGTTTGTTTTCTGTGTAACTTAGATAGGTGACATATCCATGTTGAATCCAGATTTTAGACTTAAATCTTATTAAGTATAACAAATTAACATCGGGTGTTTACTACACAAGGAATACGTCATTGCATATTGTTGATACTATTAATTTTTTTCATCGGGAGAAAATCTCAGAACGAATGGAACAATGTGTCAATAGAATCTGGTTTATAGTTCGAGTATAAATTGAAAACCAGAGCTGTCTACCAGAAGAGGTCGGTTAAATGGGATCGTTGAATTAGCTTGTATAGTGCTTTATTCTCCATGCAAGGTTCACCTCTTCCTACTTGGTTATAAGATTTAAGGATTTGATACCAGTTAAACATTTTTGAGATTTGTCGTTCTAACTTAGTCTTGTTTTCCTTCGAATTGAACTCCCTGGTCACATTCCTTGTTATTTAAGAAACATTTGATTTAAAATTTTTGGGGGTAAATCGTCATTTTGCATGAATTTGGTATCGTGGTTTATTTTACTTGACAGTGTGGAACAAGATTTGACTTATATGACAAATGGGTTTGACCTTGAGGCAATTTCCTCATTAATTTTGCCTCGTTATTTTCAGGGTTGGAGAGACACCATGATGAAATGAAAATTGATTGCATTAATTGAGAACTAAAATGGACAATTTGTAAAAGTCGAGGGAAAATGAGCCACTTTAAAATCAAATGGGAGTAAAGAGGTGTATTTCACCTAACTTGAACTCTTTATAACGTTGAGTAGAGTTCAGTCCTTTTAGGCTGTTTATTTATGGAGTGGTGCAAAAATCATTCCAAATTGATCAATTTGTGCATGGAGTTAGCAAATGACTTACTATACCGTATTAATGTCCCTCATTGCAGTGCGATAATGACAACTTTGTTAGATACTAAAACTGTATCCAAAACACAGGTAACAGTTCTCTGGTCAAATAGGGGTTCATAGAAGGGTCAGGTAATAGGAGAGAATAGTTTGAACTTTTGGAAGGTCCTACACTACTCGAATTGCAGATGTTGTATCTAATTTTTCTCTATTTGAACTATCAACGTAACATTTTGAAAGACTTTATTAAACTTCGTTTTCTTTTAAGGCCATCTTTAGGAATTTTTTTCTTTATTTGAGTTTTCTTCGGGATTGTTGAATTCATAAATTATAAACTTATAAATTAAATTTGCTATTTGCTCACTGGCATGTGGGCTTTTAATTGAATTTATGGTTTTATGGTTTTCTATTATCTTTAAATCTCTAGTTCTACCTCATACACATTCCCAAATAGTGCGAAACAATTCATTCTCATGATTGATTATTAAGTGACTATTTTGAACATTTCCTCAAGGTACAGCGTTGCTTGTAATCTTAAAGTAAGACAAAAATTAGTTATTCACAATTATAAATCGTTAATCACAGTTTAAATTTTTGAGTTTAGTTCCTAGATCAGGAACGGTGTTAAGTTTCTATACTTCAGTAAGAATGGTCGGTGGAGGGACAGTCTCTTACCTGTTTATAAACGGAGAGTTTATTCTAGGAGATAATGCGTAATGTTTAATGTGGTCGTATGTGAAGTCAGCTGCGGGGTTTTTGATCTTGATGTCACCTACTATCCAAGATGAGAGTTGAAAAGTGCTTTCCCAAGTAGTCTTGAGTTTTGTGGTTAGTTATTGGTAACACTAGTGATAAACTTATAATGAGTTCCTGTGGATCCCTTTGAACATATTAAATGAAATATAATTTAATTGCGTTGGCATGGAGGAGTGTCAGAATTTATCGTGTAAGCAGATACACAACATGCGCTAAAGTTATAGTACTTCATTGGATCGCATCATAAATTTTATATGCTAGCAAGCTGGCAGAACTTGAAAGTCGAAATGATATCGGATGCACATGGATTGAATAATAATGCATCAATGCACGCAAACGCAAATGCAGAAAATCTATCGGGTGATTACTAATGTAAAACAAGCTCTTCAAATCGTCAGGTTGAGGATGACGAAAATTGTAATTATCCAATGTGTTTTCTAATAACTTAACGACGACAAATCGATTGGCTAATTCCAATATTGCACTGTTAATAGAGTAAATTTGATATCTTTTCAACAAGTTACCAATAGTGAATAACAAGAACCTAGAAGAGTCCTGTCTACACAGGACGTTAAGGCTACTCTTGCAGTAGTTTCATCGTTTACTATTTTGATAGACCTAAGCAATTAGAAGCAATCTAGAAGATCGTGTGAAAATTTGATTCTAAAAATTGTGCACTCAGAAGGATTTCTAGTAAAAAGACAACAAATTTCAATTTCTAATAAAAACTGTACTCGTGGCTACTTCAAAATGCCAAACTAGGCTGAGTGGTTGAGCATTTTTTGCGTTCAAAGAAATTTATCCTCTCTTATCTCAAAGACCAAATCAGTAATAAACGAAATGTTGTTGCCTTGGTGTGCTCTTAAAAAGACGTGATTTTAAACTTTATATGACCAACTTTACCGTATATTTTTACCGCGTTAAGGTGGACCTTTTTAACTTGCACGCTTAAGGATTGGCATTTGAATTTTTGTCACCTAGAAGTGGTTGATGTTAATGTATCCCGTGCAAATTCTTACCTTCAAATTCCAAGCCAATTTGGCACAAAGCATTGGCGTTTCACGATGTCGATCCTAGACACAGAAGTGAAAATAAGGAAACCGTAAGCTGGAAACAATGGAATTAAAGCAACCTGTGGGATATTAATATACTCGCGCTTGTGTTTTACGGTGCTAGTAAGATGGAAATCAGATTAAGAACTTTAATTATTACCCTGCCGTCGGACTAAACGTAGTAGAAAGTTTGCAAGTGCTATATTTACATAACCTTCTTGTGGTGGTAACATAAAGCATATGAAGTTAGGATAATTCGATGTCAATTAGTAAATAGGTGATTGATATGGTATATTTGCCGTAGGTCCGATCCTTTTCCTGTATTTTAAGAATTTGTTTTGTGCGCTTGGAGTTTACCCACTCTAATCAACAATAAAGGAAACCTTGTATACTTGGTAGTTCTTTATTTTTTACATTTCAAATAATTCACTGTGTTTTGTTTAGACATGTCTACTCAAGAATTACTACCCTCGCTTCATGGCGTTTCTCATTTAACTTAACTCTGTATTTAAAGGAACATGAGGAATGCATGACCATCTGTGCAATATTTGCCGTGTAAAGAGAGAGAGATGGTTAAAGAAATTCGGAATATAACCAGTTTCACTTTTCGTTGCGATTGGATAGTCTTTGTCTTCCTTACTTTAGCATTTTCTTTCAGTTTAAACCGGGCTCTACGTCGCTTGAATGACATATGACTCGACCACGAAAGAAGGCCTTTACCCAAATTGGTCATGCCTAAAAGATTTGGTGGTGTTGCTATTCCATCTTTGCTATTATAGTGTCATTAATTGATATAAGGTAATAAAATGTGAGTTGAGAAAATTCTGAATTTTAGTCAGTAAGATTGTAATTTTATTTCCAATCGATATATGTGCATGTATTATCCTTTTATTATGGAATAAAATCTCAAAACACAAATTTATTAATGAATTCGGTAGGAAGTGGAACTTTGAGTCGAATAGCCGAAAATTATGAAGTGAAGCGCCCATGGGCTTTATGAGGGTATCGAGTTCTTCACTTCCTAAGAAGCACAGCCCATTTCGCGATGTCCAAATGATTTGTCGAGCTTGATCGATTGGTTGAACATGCCACTTTTATTCGTTTTGTTTCTTCAAATAGCCTTCGGCATGGAGATGAAACCACCGAAGATACTTGGGTTCACGCAAGTGTACGCATAATTAATAGCTTCTCAATGGCTTATAGTTTGTTGATTGTGTCCAATCTCAGCAAATTTGTCTTTTCCATTAGTCAAGATTCTACCAGTGGTGAAACCTAGAGTTTGCTAAAAGGAGGTTTTACTCTTCTATCAACTCATGAGAAAAGAAATGCGGACTTTTTCTAGGCTTCAACTAGCTTTGAGAAAACAAACGAGGCCAAATGAAATGCTGACTTGGATAACGACTTTATTCTGTTTTCTTTTCTGGGACAAAATTTGTTCCTTCCTCGAACATGAACGGTTTAGCAACAAAAAACAATGCTTTCGTTTCTCCACATTTCTATTAAATGGAAATGGGACTAGCAGACATTCTCCTAGATAAACTTTTAAATTCCATTAAAATTGACATACAAATAAAATTTGTGCAGTTGGCTATTAATTTGTCTTTCAGTGTGCGTGTTTTACTTGAATTACAACATTCTTTTCTTATTTAAACCACACGAAGTTTATACTTACTCCTATATTTAGGCGCAGATGTTTGAGGGTTTTGAAAGGTTTGTTTCACATCTATCGAATGGCCCCTCTCTTTTGAGGTGTAATATAAACACCGACCACAAGTCCCCTGCTTAAAAGAAGGGGGGGAGGTGTTCTACCACTAATTTAATATGAACGAGTGGCATCATAAATCCTTTCTGGCTAGAGGCTCATCAAATGGCATCGACCCCGTTGCCTCTAATTGCGAGCGCTAAGTAATGTTCATATTCAAATCTGAAAGATACAAATATGCTATCTCCGCAAATACCGGATGCGAACCATGATCAATACGCTGCAATCGCTTTAAAAGAGGGTCAGCTGCTATCTGAGCTCGTTGGTTCATTTTCATTAAGTATATTCAGTGGGAAATGATTAACTAAAGCTCTCATACCTTGACTTAATTCTGGACAGAAGTGTCTAACTGTCAACGTCACGTTAGGTGGAAGAAAAAGAGTGCTAAATTTGGAAAATTCGAACTTGGAAGGGAACGGTAATTGGTCAACTGTCTTTTTCAAGTCTCTCACATTTGAGATATATTTAAATCGGCCGAATTTTAATTTTACTGAAAAATAAGAGTTTCATTCTCTATCAAGTATTTCATTGGAAACTATTGCCGAGGGCCCTACAATAATACTTCTTACCTAGTTCGCAGCGTTGAATATTTTGACGGTTAAGGGTGGGTCCACCTTTGCTCAGACACGCTAGCTACTGGGAGCTTGGTTACCGTACTCTTAGGTTCTAGAAATTTCTAATGCTCGTTCGAATCGCAAAAGCCTATCTCTATTTTCACGGTGAATATGGCTTAAGATTTAGCGTTAATACCTTTTCAGTAATTTGACAGTTGTAATGCCTTTTTTAGTGGATGAAATCAAGTTCTTCTGAAATTCTGTCCATACCATGAAGGTCGAGCCTAATTTCGTGGTTATGGAAAAATCATGTTATAGCCTAATCCATAATCTAGGCTCCCTTATGGTAATTCTGGTCAAAAAGTGATTTTAGGAGCCGAAACGAAACTAGTAAAATTTGCAGACTTCACAATATATTGTTTCTCAGGTCTTAAATGACAAACAACAAGTAAGAGCGTAATTGTCAGGAATGGAACAACTCGGTCATTGAGTAGGTAGCAAAAGTGGTGTAAAGAGCTCTACCTTGGTCAATATTTTAAATATATCTTGAAAGTTGCTATAGTAATTCCACTAGTACCATTCTGGCTGAAGTAACTCAAGTAATTTGTAGGGGTAGAATAGTGAGGAGATGAGTGTAAAGAAATTCTACCTTATGGAAAATGAAATGTATTTATGGAACACTATCAACTGCAATGTTTAATTGGCTTTCCCTTCACTAATACTTGCTTCTTGTTGCTCTTTGGGTACTCTTCCGTCGAAGTTGAGATTGCCTTAGTGGCCAGGCTTATGATTTAGTGTTTGTTATCTTCAGTTTAAACCTGAAATTTTAAATTTCACTTTCATTATTAAAAAGAGCGGTCAATAAACCCCTTGTTAACTTTGACATTTTTGCTAAAGCATCTGCGCTTGTTTGTTCAATAGGGAGGCATTAGTCTTTTAAAGTAAACACTCTTCCTCTTCATCGCTTCCTCGACGTACTGGACGCCGTTCTTTGCGCTGTTCCATTCACATTCGGTTCTCCTTTTTAGCCCTCTCGTATGTCCAACGATGAAATTATTCGTGTCTGTGTGATCCTCGTCACGACGACCTACTGTATGAAGACTGTCGAAGAACTGGAGAAACGTCTTAAAGCCGAGGTAACTGAATCAACTCTTCTTATCTGACACTTTTTAATAAATTTACTTGACTAACATGGAAGCGCCTATTTCCAATTACTGATATTTGTTATCTGTTTGCTCGGCTCCATTTATTCGAGTTGTTGTTGTTCCAGTTATAGATGAGTTTTTTCTCAATTTCTTTTGAAATTAAATCCTATTAATCTACATATTATTATTATTATTATTATATTTTGGTATGATGAGCACGATCCAACTTATAACTTATTGTTTCCTTATTCTTCTGGAAAGCATCGTTGTTTCCTGTTAGGCTTTTGTTTGAGGATATTCTAACTTAATTTAATCGGATTCATAAACTAAACTTTGTACTTAATAATAAGGCTTTGCTTTATTTAGTTGACGTTCGTCATAATCATCTGTTTTAATTTATTTTAAAATATCAAGTCATCACTTGTTCGAAATCAGAACAGGCCTTAACGAAATTCAAATTACTAGCTTATGCCGACAATTTCATCTTCATTTCTAATCTGAGTTTGCTAGTCTTCGTGCCTCTCGCCTGGCTGCTCTCTATAATTAGATTGAGGTGGAACGTCCATCTATGTCGAACAAACTCTTGGAAATTTGGGCACAGTCTCTTACTCATGAGTTCGGCTGTCTAATGGGGAAATCCTAGCATTATGTTGCTGGGAGGCAAATTGCACACCTCGTTTGGGAAGTTGGTTAATCTCTTGCTTCCGGAATTCTAAGGGGTCGTACTTTTTGTGTTTTGATCCTATCTGCCACTTCAAATTTAAGATTACTTGTTTTACGTTCCCTTCATTCCAGTGCTTCTTTCCTCTCTGCCATGAAAAGCAATGGGAATAGTGAAGTGGTTTTTCTCACTTGTGTCACTGGATAAACGATTTTTATGCCTTATCAGCAAAACAACAACAACAAAAACAACGTTCTTAAATATCAATGAAACCCTAGAGATTTTCTATTTCTAAATGCTTCACCAACCAAGTTTGTCAGCATAAAGGTATAATCCCCAGTGGGGGCTTGGAACTGCTGTCGGATATGGAGACCATCGTAAAATTACCAATTTTCTGATTGCAACATCTTGGCGTCTCCCTGCATCTTCATTCAGAATTCATCACCTTTTCCCTTTTGAGGAAGAGCAAGTAAACAAAACTTTCTTCCCTTCAAGTCTTTGTGCTAAATATTATACTACATTCAGACTTTGATTAATTACTTGTTTAATAAATAGCCTATTAAGCCATTTATAAAAAGTGATCTAATTGTTTCTAACTTACTCCCCTTACATGTCTTATAGTTACAACAGAAGCGCCAGCTTTTTCACTGACCTATAAATTCTAAACACATTTTGATTAATAATGCAATGAGTTATTTCTACCTTATATGGGAGGAGAATTTGATGACTTCTGAATCCAGATGAAGGGACGCTCTCTTTATTTCTCCTCTTCTTTTTCTATATAATCTCTCTCTTCAACTTTCAATTTATTCTCATTGAAACAGTTCATGTTGATCATAGTTGTGTGCTTATATGATTATATATTGTTCAACTGTTCTTTTTGCAAATCTACAGCTTCTCAGACCCCAAATAGAAGGGTGGGCGGAGGAACTTTAGCTCAAGCGACGCTTTCCACTAAGCAAACGAATTTGCCCAAATAGTGGTGGATAAGTAGTGAAAAATTGCCTGTCTGGTTAGTCAAAAATTGAACTGGTGGTCTTAAGTATCCAGATGCCAACGTGAGTGATAGTGAGTGATGGAATGCTGACGCTTGTAACTTTCTATCGAGTACCCCGAAAATGTTCGATTAGACTTCCTGGCCGTCACTCTACCTAACAATAGGACAACATTCACTTCCTTCTTAGGCAAATCTCGTCATCAGGATCATTATCTTAAGAAAACCCTCCCTTTGTTGTTGCATAAAATTCTTGCCTCTCGTTTTGATATTAAAATTTTTCTTTTTTTGCTTGCTAACTTGCCTGTTGAGTGAGTTATTCACGAGCGTGAGGCGGAAAATGAGCGCTCGTTCGCTTTCGTTGAGTCTTGTTAAGTTCGCCTACACTTCTACTAAGCTTCTTCCTATCCTCGTGTGGGGTTTTTATGACCTTCCTCATCCTACTCCATGTACTTCATCCATAAATTATGAGAGAAGCAGTAGCAGCAGCTGCTGCTGCAAAACTTTGGAATCAAGGAGAGGCAGGCGAATTCTAAATTTTCAGCTCGTTTTAAACCTCGTGCTAGAATTTCCTATGAGTGGGAAACTATTACTCAGCCAGTTAGCGTTATTCCATCGTAGTACTATATGAAGCAGTTTTTTATATCGAATCCCTATATACACGGACTCTGTGCTTCTGTACGCTTTGTGAGTTACTAAAAATAACAAATAAGTTAGCTTAAATACATGCCTAATTGGTCTTAATTTCGAATTCCTCGTTTCGTCTCTAAAGATTATTCATTTTAAATTGTAACCAATTTCTTTTTTATCGTTCTTCGAATTGAAATTATATGCTCATTCACCTCGCTATAAACCCTGTAATTTTGAGTTTTGCACGGCTGTTCTTTACTTTAATTTGTGACCTAACTATTTCCCTATCTCAGAGGTTCCAAATTGCCAGAGGTTAGAAAGCGGAGTAGTGTTTAAATGCAAATTCCTGGTACTACGATTAATATTGCCTTTAACTGATTCGGCAGATTTTACCAACTGGTTATGCTTCGTTCCATGTACTTTCCATGGAATGCATGGAAGAAGTTTCCTAAGGGTCAATCCTAACCTGGCATGGGTGATGAAATGGGTGTTTCGTTTTGACAACCATTGTTGCTCCTCTAACCAGGAATTTTAATGCGTCATAATCAAGATCCCTTGGCAGTCAAGAGTTTGTTGTACAATTTAAATCGTTTCAACCAAAATTGATTTTGTCGCACTGAGAGAATTTTCAGTAGCCTTGCAGGCTTTCAAGACCTGATGAAAGCAAAGCGGCATGTAATGTCTATCTGATGTGTTTTCTGTCTGTTTTGGGGTTGGACCGTTTACTCCTGGTAGTTAAATGAAATTAATTGCTCATAAACAATGTTGACCGACTTGTCTACTTCCAAGTTGTTTCCTCACTGTGTCTGAACACAAACTGAACTTAAACATCAGTTTGTGAAATGTTCGATTTAGGCAGTTCTAAATCCCCTTTATACAGTTATTTTTTACTGTCCTTTATTCTTTTGCTAATTTCTCTTACAAAGCCTATATTTGCCTATTCGTCAAGCCAATCACGGGTTGCAATTAGCTACTGCCGCAAAATCCTTTAGCTGGCTGTTTAAGTGTCAAATTTCCCTGCGCAAAGTTCGTTTGCCCTAGAGTTCACAAGTCTTATGGGTGCTTAATGAAAACACTTATTAGTAGGAGTGTCTGAAGGCATAGCGCATTCTTTGAAGGTTGAATTGCCTCCTATTGGCCAACCTTTAGTAATTGGTTATAGCTTAGGTCAACTGAATGACATCACAGTAGGAAGAAGACATAGTGGTAGAGTTGATTAAATCAGGGATAGGGCAAGGAATTCGAGACTGTGAACATGTGGTAAGGGTAAAGTCACTGCAAGTCAAATGGTACATAAGATATTTTAGATTTAGCTATTGTCCCCGTTGAACTCATTATCTTTCACTTGTTTTTTACTTTATTTATTCTAAGATTTCGATATTACAGCGTTTTAAAAGGCACCTTTATTTGGTAGGTTCGCCCTTCATCTCTGGCTAGCGAAATTTCCTTCCAAAGTGAAGTTAGCGCTCTCACCGAATGTAGGTCGTCATGCATTCACCGACTGGTGGCTGACCTTGAAGCAGCTGTGATACCCCAACTTAATGCAATGGCACGAATGCCTTGGGCCAGTCTTGATTCAGTCGGAGATCAGTCACCTTACGTCACTTCGATCGTATCTCACCTCAAGACTCAAATTCCGCCTATTAGGGATACTCTATTCTCTGTTAGGTTAGTTTTATTTCTCGTCTATCTGCTTATTTGTTGCTATTCATGAATAGTTTGGAATTGTTTATGAATTTTTTCCCCAATTCCACGCGTTTGAATCTTATCGATTGGGGACACTAGTCGCCTATACCAATTATTGTCGGCCAAAATGAGCTATTTTTTAACAATCCCTAAATTAAAAGCCCCACTGGTTTATTACCGGCTTTAATACGTTCAGTTGTTACCACCCATAGCAAAAAATGGCTTTAATAACCTTGTCCAGAATTTGTAAGCGAGTTGGATGGTTGCTAGTAGAAATGAGGAGCGCGATAATCAATAGAGCCCTACCGCTTTAGAGCTCGAACTTGCTAATTTGTCTGCTTCTTACCTTAAGCGACTGAAGTAGCTGAGGTTAGCATATTTTAAAAAAGAAATCTTCCACCCCAACTCCCTTGTTCGCTATTCACTGAATTATTACTTACTTGAATGTCTTTCAGACCTAATCAGTAAATTACTTCAGTAAGCACAAATGACCAAATGCATTAAAGTGAGAGGTCGACAATGCCAGCTTTAGGAACTTTACTGGTTCGGGTTAGGAAATGGCACACAATGTCCTCTATTTCGACACTTGTAAATCGTTATGAATTTGACATATTGCCTGATTTTCCTCAAACTATGAACTAAGCTAACACGACTGACATCCTAGTAGATTTGTGTATTGGGGAAGCAACTGTTCCTTCACATCATTGGCATAGTTTTTCCTGAACAAGTTGCAATGACATTAGACAAATATAAAATGAATAGAAGCACACAAGGTGCGCATCCGGTTTTCATGAAGCGTTGTATTGTCAGCCTGTAGATAAATGCAGGGCACATATACCTCTTAGTTGTGAGTGTATTGGTATTGAAGGTATAAAAAGATAGATCGGGAGTGTCCTGGTAAGTGATTTTGAAGCGATTTGTTGGGTTCGTGAAATGCACGGTACAGGCAAGAGCACTGGTGTTAATGTGGATTAATGTATTGAGTGGCAGAATGCGAGTGCTATCGGCGAAAGAATGTCAGCAATGACTACTTTTTAAAAATCAAAAATGATGCTCTATTCGTACAGACAAGTTCTGTACCTTAGAATATCAATTGGTCTTATCAGTAAGCCTCTAGCTGATTAAGATAAACCTGAATTTTCCATTTGCTTGCATCGGTCTTTGTGTTGGTTTTAGCACCCATGTCTCCAGAGTCTGATCACTGATGGATCCACCTTGAGATTCTATAACCCAATTGATTTGTATTTAATTTTTGTCCGTTTCAAAATCACAGAGTATACCAAAATTCGAGTCAATCGAACCGTGTTATTTCCCTGCTGTTAAGGGTCTCTGCATTTGCTTCCCATTACGTTACACTTTTCTTCCATGCCCATTCATACAAGGGAGGTCTTCTAACCGTTGTTTTACTACATTGCTAGATATTATATCATCCTACATACAGGTCGTTGTACTTTCTCGATTGTAAAAGGTCGTTATTCCTTTTTGCACGCCTAGTTCCTTGGATGCGGACATGCTTCTATTCCTCTCCCCCCCCCCTCCCCACCCACCTATGTGAACGCATGTCTACGCTATGTGGTTGAATAAAGATTCACCATTAAGTAACGATTTTGTGTAGCTACCTTCCCAATTTTATTGTGCTATGGCTGACGATTTTGCGGCCTCATTCATTTCCCATATTCGTATTAATTAGCTTTGCACAGCCTACTGGCTAGCATTTTGCCAGATACTGTGTTCTGTATCTTGTATGGTATTACCATTTGCCCACCATGTAACGGGGAGTTATCACTCCTCTTTGTTGAGGACTTACTTGCGGACCACAAGCCGTAATCCCCATTAGTGTCAGTAATAGTTATAATCTCGCCATGGTTGGTGAAATGGGTAGTCCTGTTTTTTGCCTCCTGTGGAGTGGAACGTCAGACGACTTCCTTCCACCACCCCTTAGTTTTTTTGTAGCAAAAGTGGTACTAACGGCATTAGCAGTTGGGAAGGAGGGCAAGAAGTGGGCCTTTGATATGATTTCCTTGTGTAATACAAGAACTCGTTTACTCATTATACATCCTCTTTGTTTATTGACTCTTACTGTTTCGCGCATGTAACACGAACAGTAACTTGGAAACGACTTAGTCTTTTGTTTCAAATTCCGAGGAACTTTATAAAATAAAAGTTCTTTGCAGTTCTTACACTTGCTCGACTCATTAGGAACAAGAGAGCGCGTTTGGTAACTAAAAAGTTTGATTGGTTGGCAAGAAATTACTATGTTGTGGAAGTTTCTTTCTCAAAATAGTCGTAGTTAGCCCCTGTTACAAGTTCAATCGACCCTGAAACCACCTGAGTCTCTATAATTTCTTCAATTCTGCCTCTTGAGCGAGAGTTTAAGTACGACATCATTCAATGTATGATCGTCCATTGAGGGAGGGTGGGAGGATCTGCAGACACATTTCGGTTTGTTATTGGCAGTTGTAAGTGCTTTCACGTAGACATGTGAATTCAACCCATGGCCCCCCNNNNCCCCCCCCCCCCCCCCCCCCCCCACCACCACTCTACTTCCGAAAAATATGACTGCTGAGAGAAATTTTGTCTGCATGACTATAGGAGTTTCCTTTCGACTGTATTCAAGCCAAGCTATCTCATATTGTGAATGTTGAGCTTTTAATATTATCACAGTTTACCTAATGGGGTAACAGTCACTTTGATTTGCTTGTGCTTCAACGTGATATTTAATTTTTACCAGAAAAGTCTTCGCTTTTGTCAGAGGATGAATTTCGCTAGCTATTTCCATGATAAATCCGTTATTGCGAAGAATGTTTCTATAAGTAGTAGAGTAGATCTTCACTGAGTATGGAATTCATATTAGAGGCTGAAATGTGAAACTATGATATCAACGCCCGAGCTGCGATACCGTAGTGGTTGATTATATTTTTTCATCAACTTATTTTTGAGCAAATCTTCTCGTTAGTGACAGAGCAATACTTTTCCATTTTCTTCGGTGCTCGCCGTTCTTAGTCATTACCCTTAAAAACTGGAATGGCTACACATTCAACCACCCTGTGCTGCTTGGCACCCCTATGGTACAAGACTTAAGATCTACTGGATACATTTATTGGTTTTGGTCACAAAGGGTTATGCCTGGAGGCGTCTATTTCACATTGATTTAGGAGACGTGTAAACAGAGCGGGTGTACATACTCTGTCCTAAATTTGAATTAGTATGATGATTGACGCCCATCAGAAGCCTTATTATGATGACGCTGTAACTGCGTAGATAACGTAATGAATCTGGCCAAACAATATCTACGCATTAGATCGAATTATAATAATTTTGGGAGTCTTAAGAACCGCCTCAGCATAAACTTGTCGTGCGTGTCTAATTTTCCCTCTTACTGACGGGGTTGGCTATTGCTTAGTAATTTGAACTTTTGGTAGGCGCATATTTTTTGCTTTGTCTGTTCGACATGCATGATGCTGCTTTCCGATAAGGATTTAAACTCTCTTGCTCATTGACTGCCTCTCTCTCTCTCTCACACACACACACACACACACACACACACACGCACACAAGGTTAGCGACTCCTGTTTCATATTTTCTTCCATGGTTTTTTAGGACTCTTTTCCCATTTAAGACCAGGTTACGTCTGGAGAGAAATTGAATTTCACACAACTTTTTAAAACAATAGGTTCGATACATGATAAAATATGCACTACGATATGTGAAACTTTTTACTTCTAAGTGGTCAGTAATTTGTAAGTGAGGGGTGAATAGACTTGGAGCCACAAATTTCGAAGCGTATTAATTGATGATGAGTTGCATTGGAATTATCTGAATTTGTTATGTAGTCACTCCTCTAGATACATGTTAGTTGATTGATCCAACCGCGTTTACTAATTTTGGTTGTAATGCGGTGTACTACTATAAATTTCTAATCCGAGAAATATTAGGACGCGTTTAAGACGGATCTGTGGGTAGGTAAGCCCTCAATCGATAGCCTAATAACTGGCCCCTTTATCATTTCACAGACTTATGATATGTGCATCCTAGATCTAGCACACCTGTTTCTCTGTCTTCTTCCTTCTCTTTCTACCCACTGTTATTATTATTACTATTCAACTGTTGTAGGGCTCATTTCACCCAGATTTGCATAAAATTCGCGGATGCCACAATAAATCGCTTCGTAGCGTCTCTTTACAAATGCAAACCCCTAAACACCTTCGGTGCGGAACAACTCCTTCTTGATACCCAATGTCTCAAATCGGCTCTTCTTCAATTTCCCCTCCTTGGAACCAAGGTGAGTACGAGATCTGTATTCCATTGGTACTTTAAATATCATCCAAAATTCAACTATTATTTGGAAGCACGGTTTGATCAGGATGCACAGAAATCCAGTTGAGATAACGATGACTATCTGCTTTCAATACGAAGGCTTTGTCTTAATTATTGAATTAGGGAAATTTGGCTATGTAAATTGACATGCTATGGCAATTTCTAGCTTCCTGGTTGTTAAATAATTTCAGCTGCATGACACAGGATCGCAGAGCCCCATTAATCGATAGTGCATTACACGATGGATTAAGTTCGCGAACGTGATTTAAGTCCACCAAATTTATCTGTTCCAGTTATTCAACAATGTGCTAATAGGAATTTGTTTAAAAATTTCTTTCACTATTCAAACTGGCTTGATTATTTTTCTGGGTGTCCTCAAAATGGGACGAGAATGAAATTTTCAATTTCTTGAGTTCCCAGTGAACTCAACTGGCTTTCTCAGGTTTTTCCTTCTATCACGCCTGTCATCATCAATTATTCTAAAAGTCCCCCCTCCCCATTTTATATTCCATTCTCTCGCTTTCCTTCTCAGCTCTCCTTCTTGAATGAAGTTTTTATTGCGTCAGCTTCTTTTTTTCAAAATTTCCTTGGAACAAGAAAAGGGATCACTATCTGCCTCTTCAATTAGCATCTAACTTATCATCCTGATCCCCCTGCTACACAGAACGGTGTGCAAAACTCTACTCTCTGCAGTTTATCGATTTCCATTAATATTCAGTTCCCTGCCATGGCGGTTTTACTGTCCATAGAAGCATTTATTACGTTTTTTCTTTGCTTTCCGTTCTCGAGCAGCATATTGCGTCACAGACTCTGCCCCTTTCCTGTCAGGTAATAATAGATTTTGTAGTGCTAGAATGGGCAATCGGTGACGCTAACACTTCTAAGTTTGCGGCCGCCTCTTCCTTTGTGTCATTTTTGACAGGTCTGTTAATGGTTTGCTTTGTAAACCATCATCTTCACTTCATCAGAACTGAATAGATTTAAGCCATCATTATTACTATGAGATGGGGTAATGCTTGCGAGTACATTGAACTGTAATTGCGCATTAAATTGTTATCTTCCGATTATTGTTACTTTTAAAGAGGAGACCCGGTGCTTATATTGTCAAATTATAACGACCTGCCTAATATCGGCTTTATGACTGTTGACAAATCATTGAGTTTGCCCGTTTACTAGACTATCTGCGTACAAATGACTTTTGCAAGTTTTATCCTCTAATGCGAGCATTTATTTCATGGTAAATTCGTTAATAATCCAGTAGAAGCTGAAATCCGCATAAGAGTGGCTTTTGATGAAGTGGTTGCCAATATTCTTAATCTGATTTCCTTAACCATAATGCGATCCACAATCTCATATTGGGGTAAAATGCACATCAAAGTAACCAAGTGTTCTCAGTCCAATTTGTATGAATTAATCCGAAGGTTTTTTGTGTGTGAAGTCGAGTATGCGATATTCATGGCATATTAGCTAGTTAATCTAATTGACCTTTTCAAGATACCACTGATTATTTTTTCCACTTTATGATTTCAAGTTTCAATGTTCTTTGATAGTAGCATTTTCACACTTTTATTTGCATGATGATCCCCTCTTTGTAGTCCGACATTTGCAGTTGGTAGTAAATTAGTTGAATAAAAAAACAATTCTACTACAGTGCCTTGTACTGTGATGTTCGCAGCAATGAGTATTCCTTTTGGTAGGGAACTGTTTAGAAAAATTAGAGGCAAGGGTTACCTGTGTCGTGTTAAAAACATTGGTCAATAGAGAGCGTGCTGGTTTGTGAAGTAACGGGTCACATGATTTATACTCGTAGTTTACGCAAATGAGAGCGCGGAAACCCAAACAGTAATGACTAATTCTCGTCAACAGGGGAGATATTGTATCTTGAGATTTTCGTAAGAGTAGCTTTTCTATACCTCCCTATATGAGTTGCGCGTTAATTACACTCCACGTTTAATTTGCTAAGAAGGGTTGTGGTAAATCCTGTCAAGTTATTCAAATGACTGGAGTTGAGGTATATTAATCAACATTTGGTCTGACAGCACCTTTTATAATTTACTATATACATTGGTCACTGTTATCTTTGGTCATCACACGCGTGGAACTTTGTTCTTATTTGTGTATATTATTCTCAAGGCATACGAAAATTGATCAAGCATTACATTTCAACAATTCTGACAGCGATCCGTTCACTACTAAATTTTACAACTCAGGGAGGTGAAGTTGACTTGATTGAATTAATTTATTACCAGAATTTCACTTCCCCTTGCAGTAACCAGTGAATATCCAACCAGTAGTACCGTCTCTATATGTAGGAAAGTCGGTGGAAATACTTCATGCGTGCTACCGCGCCTAATTGGATCAAAAGGGAAGTAACAGTAGCAGTGTACATATTCTTCTGCTCACTTGAGCGTGGTAGGCTCTCACATGCATGCTTGCTCATAAAGCGTGTATATTTAGAGTTGGTGGGAAGAGGGGCTGGAAATGAACGACGTGCTTGGTTAGGTCTCTCCCAAAACTATTATTGTGTGCGTGTGCGTGAGTGATCGGGTTGTGAATTTCAAAAATCAATGTTTTCATTGTTTAAGTAATGGTGTCGTTAAACCGTACACAGTACTGTGACGAGTGAACGAATTTTGTCGGCATTTGTCAACATACAACAGTGAGAGGCTAGTCAATGGAGTATTGGGCATAAATCCTGCTTTCCAGTTCCTGTTCGGGCTCTATATCTCTTAATGGGGGGGGGGGGAGCATAAAGCTGGACCTTATTCTATCGACCAGTTACGTAGCGGTTAATGCTTATACCTACAAGTTCAGATGCCACAGGGCTGCTTCTCAACGAGCTTCATTCCCTCTATTCGCATTAGCTGTTACTTAATACCGCAGATTTACCTCGTGTATGGCCTTCAGAAGTATTCCCTTCAGTCGTTTATTGGCATTCTCTACGTAACATCAGGTGATAATTCTCACAGTATGACAATAGTCTTTTTAGGGAATAATGGGCGAACATACAATACGTTGTGAAGCATTATGAGATTTGTTTACAGCTACACTTCGTGGCAGGAACCTACAATTTTCATTTTGTGAAGGCAAACGAAGTTGAGTAACACTAAGGCTCAGCATGGCACAGATAGGAGAATAATTGAATGCAGTTGAAACCTGAATGGAGTTTTCTTCACTTACTTTGTTACTCAAGGTTGTATAACTGTTGACCAATGATTAGTTTACCGCTTTATGTATTGAGATGGGAATTCAGTGACTTTAATTCTTGTTCACGCTTTCGGAGAAAGCTGGGTGGTGTTAGCTTACTTGAGTTCAGCTCATTCTTAAACTCTTATTGGCAGGGTATATTATAGGGCTTAAATTTCGAGCTTCGTGAACCAAGTGTCCCGTTTAGCCATTTCGTTCCCATTATACCTACACAATTTGTAAATTATTAATAACGCAATAAAATGTCCCGAGAGATCGTTCACTCTCCCCCCCCCCCTCCCCGGAATTGCTCTTTCTCCCATATGAGGTCAAAATTTGATCCACCTAAACTCTCTCCTTATTAAATTATGCTTTCAATGTAGCACTCAACTTTGGCCTTTGTTGCCTCGTTTTCGGGGTGGGCATTTCGCCCTCTCGTTACGATCTCTTGTAAATTATCTCCGCGTTTCTATGGCGCTTTTCTTTCTTTAAAAACACTAACACCCTCTCGACCTCTTGTGTCTACTTCTTTTGCTGAAAAGTAAACGTAAGAATCAGCTGGGGAGATAGTTTGACCAGTGGCAACCACGGAATTTATATAATGGAAATGGTTTATTCACTCTCTGTACGACTATATTTTTGGCTTTTTTTGATTCTCCAGTTGTCAGCAAAGGTGAAGTACCTGGTACCCGAAGTACCTGAAACTATCTTATCTTGGGATTTACAGCCTTAAGAAAAGTATAAGTAAGTTGATCGGGAATATGAAATTTCGTTCATCGAAACTGAAATTCGGAAGCTTAGTTGAATGTCAATAAATTGTTTTGATCAATCGTCTTGGATTAATCATCCTTACCAGTAGATTGCGCAGTTACCCTAAACCTTGTCCGCAATCGCCATGGTCTTTTTGTCCTCGAGTTAGTCCAGTACACTTGGACAACTTCTAGCCGCGGCTCTTTGAGGCTGATCTGTTCCCGCCCAACAAGTAAATATTTTTCCTCCTAAATCCTACGTTAGAATTTCCTCAGATTTATGCGCTTATAATTGGATATTTTGTGGGATTCAGTGGGATTCATGGAGTCCCATTTCTAGAAAACGACTATTTCCTATTTGACAATCGATGGAGGGGTTGTCATATACTGTAGGTACGTAGTGGAGATGTGAAATTCTAAATGAAATACCTCTCTAAACGGTATTTTAACAGTTCGGACGATGAACTGATTTGCTTTTCAGAATTATTCCAGTGATTTTATTCCGACAATATACCACCGACCACCATTTCACAATGCAAGATAACTTTACTCTTCTTCTTGAAATGCGCATTTACTATGCACAACTTATAATGGTGATTGATAGAGATATGACGCGACTAAAAAAAGTTTAGCTTAATTTCTATGTTCTCATTGGAAGTTATTGTCCTTTAAAATATGGCTTGAATTTGCTTAATCTTGAAAATAAAAAAGCTGGCACACGTATCTGAAGAGTTAAGCGAGCTTCCGGTCACGTTTTCTTTGCCGAACTGATTTTTTTGCCTCCCGACGGTTAAATTCCCGTCCATATGTTTTATTGGGTGTTATTTTTTCTAAAAATTGTTGTGTTTCTTCAAACCCTTTACATGTACGCTCTACATATTAACGGTCTACAAACGCAATAAAGGTCTTGACATGACTTCTCTTCAGACCCCTTTTGTGGCACCCATACATTCACTTCCAGATTTGTGTAATCGGATCTCACTTTATATAAAAGGCCATGTGCAATGTGTTTAGGACTTTTGAATTCTTCATTTGGATTTCCTGACATATCGAAGTTCATGAAAATAGAACTAATCTATGCCCAATAATATATGCGAATGTTCCAGTGCATAAGTTCATAATAGATAGCAGA